AAAAAAAAAAAAAACAACCCAGATGCTCTCAACAGACCAATAATCAAAGAAAATTTTGAGAAAACTGTTAAAAGAAATATATCCCCAAAAAGGACCACCACCAGAAAGTTTCATTGGTAAATTCTACCAAATTTTCAAAGAACAGATAATCCTACTGCTATTTCAATAGTGCCAGAGCATAAAGAAAAAAAGCTATTAATATTTTTACAAAGCATCATGCCATGATACTAACAAAGGACTGCATGCCCAAAAAGAAAATTACAGTATCTTATTTATGAATATGAAAGCAAACAAAGAGAATACAGGAACATATGGAAAGACCAGAATATCCATTACCAGGGGTTTAGAAAGTGATACAAGGACGGGTCTACAATAGGATATATATTAATATAATTCACTATATTAATAGAAGGAAGAAAAAACCCAAATACTTATCTCCATGTATGCCAAAAAGGCATATAACTCACCAGCCATTCCTGATTTAAACAAATAAGCCTAGGAATAAGTAGATACTTTCTTTACATGGCAAAAACCCTATATATGCTATACTATTATTATGTATGTGTACACAGAGAGAGAACACACAAGTGTGTTCAAAGGAGCACTCTTACAAACCAAGTAGAGAAAGAAAGCCCTACCCAAAAAAGAAAATTTGGGCAAAGAAAACGACCATGTGTTTGATATAACTATAAATAATTTATAAACATAAAAATTACTCAGACTCACTAGTAAAAAAATGATGTATGAATTAAAACCAACAGTAGGAAATAATTCTCAACCCTTAAATTTGTACAGATCAAAAGATATAGTAATACATCATGAAGGCAAGGATGTGGGGAAATAAACACCCCCAAATGTCACTGGCTGGAATGTAAACTATACATCTTTGAAGCAATTTGGCAGTATCTAGCAAAATTTAAAATGCATATGCTCTCTATTATGACTATTTCTTGAAATGAATTACCAAGTATCACCTCTAAATTTTCTATTTTTCCCTTTGTCTAAATACTGTGTCTTCATTTTTATCACCTTGAACACTACATTCAAATATTTTAACTCTACTTTTTTCCACACCAAAGACTTTAGAGTTTATCATTATCTTTGAAGTATATTACTTCTAAGACTTCACCTTGTAAGTGCAGATCTAGAGCCAATCACAAAGATATTTCCATACACTTTTTGGGAGATCTGAAATCATACTATCTTAGTATTATGCTTTTTTTTTATTGTGGTGAAATATACATAAATTTATTCTTTTAACCATTTTTAAATGTAGTACGGCGGCATTAAGAACATTCACATTACTATGCAACCATCATCCATCTCTATAATTTTTTCATCATCCCAAACTGAAACACCGTATCAACAGTAACTTCCCATTCTTCCCTCCCCAGTCCCTGGTAACCACTACTCTACTTTGTCTCTATAAATTTGACTACTCCAGGTATCTCATACAAGCAGGATTATATAATATTTGTCCTTTTGCATCTGGCTTTTTTCACTTAACATAACGTTTGCAAGTTTCATCCACATTGTGGCATATATCAGAATTTCATTCCTTTTTAAGACTGAGTAACATTCCATTGCATGTATATACCACATTTTGTTTATCAATTCATCTGCTGATAGACATTTGGGTTGTTTCTGTCTTTTGGCTATTGTGTATCATGCTGCTATAAACACTGGTATACAAATATCTGTAAGTCCCTGCTTTCAATTCTTTAGTCATGTATCTAGAAGTAGAATTGCTAGATTATAGGTAATACTATGTTTAATTTTTTGAGGAACCATCATACTGTTTTCCATAGGAGCTGCCCCATTTTTCATCCCTACCATCAATATACAAGGGTTCCAATTTCTCCACATTCTTGCCAAAACTTAATTTCCTTTTTTAAAAAGTAATAGCCACCCTAATGGGTATAAAGTGATATATCATTGTGATTTGCATTTCTCTAATGATCAGTGTTGTTATCTTTTCGTGTGCTTATTGATCATTTGTAAATCTTTAGAGAAATGTCTCTTTAAGTCCTTTGCTCATTTTTTAAATTGGGGTTTTTTTGGTTATTGTTGAGTTTTAGAAGTTTAAAAAATATATCCTGGATATTAATTCGTTATTGGATATATGATTTATAAATATTATCTCCCATTCTGTGGGTCACCTTTTCACTCTGCTGACTGTGCATGGTATGATAATACATTTTGAAAGAGGATATCGACCCTGCCTCAAAGTCAGATAGAATATAAGAAATCAGAGGCCAGGTAATCTAAGGACTATGGGTCAGACTAAGAATAGTTTTTATATTTTTAAAGGGCTATAAAAAAATAAACCAAGAATAAGTGATAGAGATCATATATGCCTGCAAAGCCTAGTTTTACTGTTTGGTCCTTTATTTAGATGTGAACTTATAATTAAAGAAGAGACTTGAGAGTTTTTTCATGTGAACAAGAGACTTTAAAGCATAATGTTCTTTCTCTAAATGGAAGGGCTAATAATTTTGTCTGTTTGTTTCAATAATTTAAGCATGGCACTGAGATTCATATTCTGAGCTAAATGATTCTGCAAAGCTGTGAATTAGATTTTATTATATTTGGCAAAGTGTCAGACTCCACTACCTAAGCTCTAAATAGTATACTGACAATGAAAAAATTTATAACATCCTATGGCTTGCTAAAAAATTACCTAGGAAACCTCGATTACCTGCAAAAGTCTTAAAACATAGCTGGGAATCTAAACTCCTAATTCTTTCCTTATATAAAATGTTTACTCTTTCTCTTTTAAAAGATTAATGAAAAACTGAAATTAGTGGCTCCAAACACAAAGGATCCATTCAAACATAAATATTTCTGTAATCTGTTACTAATATATTGAAAGAGTTAATCGAGTTTAAGCCAGATGATCTAAGAACCAGGAATCATTTCTTCCTAGACCTTGAGTTTGGTGTCAGTCTTCTCATTTATAAAGTAGGAACTGAGATAGTATAAGTAAGGTGCCTAGCAAAAAGGATTCAATAAATATTTTCTTCACAAATGTCTCTTACCTACTAAACTGAGAAAATCTTATGGACATAGACCATACCTTTTTCATACTTATATTCCTAATATAACAGATACTATGCAAAATGTCTGCTGAATGAAAGCAATCAAATCAAAACCAACAATAAATAATTTATAAAATAACCTTTAAATACCAGATAGCAATCATAAAACACTAAGGATAATTAGAAAATAAGAAAACACATTTCAATCATGAATTCACCAAGTACCAAACAGAGGCCCAAAATTCAAGTAAATGATTGCTCATTTATAGTTCCTAACCTGCAAAGAGACTGAGAAGACAGTGATGATGGTGCTCAAGCCAATTTTAGTCGCTCAGAACAGATAATGGAAACTGTTTACCCATGGTAACATTGCTAACCAAAATACCAAGTTTCTTTTTTGCCCAAAATAGTATCAGCTCAGGGTAAGCCAGTATCAGGGTAAGATTTTGTCTTGTATCTATAAGATGTTTTGTTAGCAATTAGATATTATTTTGATTAATAAGGGCTCTTGTTGCATATGCCCCCCCAACACACATACAATTAAATAAGTTTTAGACAAGAGCAAAAGGAAAATAAAGAAAAAAGCAATGTCAACAGGCAGAATATTTGCAGGCTGAACTGAAATCAATCAAAGGCACCTACCCTCAGCCAACCCCTGCTCACTCCTACCCACCGTACCTATGGACTGATTATTCTAAATAAACCTACTAGTTATTCTAGTTTATCAAACTGACATATAAGCATAGGAATTTACAGCAGAAAAATTACCTCTCGAACTTCATCATCTTCTTCATTAGTATTTTTTTGTCTGCTTTCTCTGAAACGACGTACCTAGATCATAATAGAGTTATGACAAACATGTTTACTCCAGTTATATAAAAATAAAGTAATGGCCTACAATTGATTAAGAAATGCTTTACATTGTAACATAAAACTTGGAAATTTAACTACAATTTGTCTCACAGAAGATTGAATAAAGAAACCATATTTTTCCAGTTACTTACATTAAAATTTCAAAAACGTACTCTAAAAAAATATACTAGCCCTAAGCAAAATTATATTACCTGCTGCCAAAATGTTATATGTCACTGGAAAAACAGTTTGTTAGATTGCACAGGAAAACAATCCTAATATCCTATGGGTGTCATACTTTAGTAAAACAGACAAAAACAAAAATCTCTCCTTGATAAGGCTTGAATACGTATTACATTGCTCAAATCACTCTTGCAAATTTGGCTGCGAGACATCCAGGAGGCTCTCTAAAATGTTAGGTGGGTAGGACCCTGAAAGATTCACTTTTATCAACAGTCAACTACCAAATGAATGTTTGCTGACTGGTCCTGGTACTGAGAGGGATACTATAGCTTTCTTTTGTAATGGTTCCTGTTCACAAGGCTCTTATAATATAGTTATGTAGTTAGAGAAAAAGCCCCATTTATTTAATAATCTATTTAGCATGTATTTACTGAGCACCTACTATGTGCCACACACTATTGTAGGAACTGAGAATACAGCAATTAATAGAATAGTCAAAAATTCATGCCCTCAGTGTATATATATTGGAGAAGGGGGGCAAGTTAAGAAGTTATATTATATTTCACAAGGCATCAAGGATCAAGTTAATTTACAGCTAGACTCAGAAAGTTTATCCCTGGGGAGCCTCTGGGATGGTTTTTCACTGATGGTTTTCAACCTGCACAACCTTGCTATGTGACCAGAGAGCATAATCCTTGGGAATACTGCAAAATCTTGGTGTTCAATCCAGTGACAATCCAGGTGGACAAATAAAGACATTGGGAGCTCATGGCTGGGTGTCTCTCAGGTCCTTAATGCCTGCTGTACTCTTTTTCTCACTGCACTATATCCATTGCCTATAAATAAAAACATTGAGTGAGTATGCTCAGAAGAGTTTTGTAAGCCCTTTCAAATATCTGAACCTGTGAAATCTTTGCAAAAAGGTAAGTATTCAGAGAAAAATAAAACAAATCAGGAAGAGAAATAAAAGTGCTGAGAGGTTACATCTCAATAAGATGATCACAAAAGGCCTCATTGAAAAGGTAATCTACGAGGAATGATTTTAAGAGGTAGGGAATAAATCATGGAAAAAACTGGGAGAAATCATTCTGATCAAAGGAAAGAATATGTGCAAAGATACTGGGACAAAAGTCTGCCTGGTATGTTTAGGAAACAGCAAGGAAGTTGCTGTAGCTGAAACAGATATGAAGGTAAAGACACAAGTCCAGCCTGAATAAGGCCTCATAGGACATTTTTTGTAAGCAGGAGTGACTAGGTCCAAAATATGTGAGGATTCAGTCAGCTGAATTGAGGATAGAATTGGGTGTGGAAGAATAATCCAGGTGAGAAATGACGATGCCTTGCACCAGTGGTAGCAATGAAGGTGGTAGGAAGCAGTCAGATAGCATATACATTCTAATGGTAGAGATAAATTCTAGACAGTCAGCACACAGGTAACAGAAAGAAAGGAGTCAAGGATGACTTCAAGGTTTTGACCCGAGCAACTGAAAAGATGGCGCTTCCCACTAGAACACTACAGGAGAGCAGGTTTGAGAGCAGGGGATGAGGAATAGCAATTCAGAGTGGAACTGCTAAAAGTTTGAAATGTCTATTAAGCACCCAAATGGAAATGTCTAGCAGGCTGTTGGCTATGGAAATCCTGAGTTACAGCAGGGGTTTGGGCTAGACTTTTAAAAGTTATCACCAAACAGATGGTATTTAAACCCAGGAAGCTGTATGAGATCATAAAGGGTATGTGTAGATGGAAAGGTATCCAAGGACTGAGTTCTGGGCACTCCAATTTAAGAGGTTGGAGAGAGGAGAGGAATCAACAATAGAGACTGAGAATATGCAGGCAATGAGGTAGGAGGAAAACCAGAAGAGCACACAGTCATGAAAGTCAATGGAAAAAATGTTTCCAGAAGAGGTCAAGTGAGATTTTAGACAGCAAACTGAAAGTAGATTTAGCAATGGAAGTCACAGGTGACCTTGACAAGATCAGCTTCGCTGGAATGATGGGGCCAAAAGCCTGAATGGATGGGTCAAAGAGAAAAAGGAGGGAGAAGAATTAGAGCAGAAAAATATAGAAACTCTTTGAAGCAACTGTGCCATAAAAGAAGAATAAAGAAACACAGTAGTAGCTAAATGGAAATGCGATCGAGAGTTTTGCTTGTTTTTTAAGCTCAAAGAAATAATAGTATGTTTGTTATGACTCAGTAGAAGAGGGAAATACAGGAATAATACTTTTTAAAAAATTGGCATCATATGCAAGAGTGCTCTAGGTGGTAAGCAGCATACCAAAAGTGCTAAATCACTCATAGAGGAGACATCAGAGTCAGAGTAAAAACACCAAGCAGGCACTATGTGTCAGGCAGTATTCTAAGGACTTTACATGGATTAATTCTTTTAATCCTCACAACAACCTTGAAGGAGGTTCCATTGTTATCCCCACTTTTTAGAGGAAATCGAGACACAGAGAGGTTAGATAACTCACTGATGGTAACAAGGGTTCTGATTTTGAACACAGGTGGTGTACATACACACATATAAATAAAAACAAATGGATTATATTGTGCATAGTTTTGCATCTTTGGAATTCTTTTCCCACTTAACATTATGCTGGAAATATCTTTCCATGTTCTTCTTTAAAAATGTAATTTTTAACGGCTGCCTAGAATTCTATATAGTATACGTGCCAACATTTATTGTACCGAAACATTTGCAATTATTCCCTGCTAGAGATAACACTAAGGTAATAATTCCATACATAAATCTCTCACTATTTTTGTAGGAAAGTTCCTGGGGCTGAGTTAAAGGGTAAATCTTCTTAAATCTCTTGATATACATTGCCAAACTGCTTTCTAGTAAAGCTGTTCAAATATAATACTATAACAATAGTGTACAAGATACTATTTTTCTCAAATCACTGTTCAAACGTAATATTAATACTATACTCAACAGTGTATTACATACTACTTGTATCAAATCACTGCCAATTTGATAAATAAAAAATATGAGTTTCTTTGATTATTATAGGCTAAACAAAATTTTCATATGCTTATTAGCCATTTATATTTCTATTCACGTCCTTTGTTCATTATTCTATTACAATGTTTAATTTTTTTAAAGATTTATAAGAGCTCTGCCCACATACAAATATTTTCCCATGTCACTTTTAGTTTTCTGACAATTTGATATGCAAACATTGAAAATTTCTATGTAGTCAAATCTAAACAGCTTTTCCTGTGTAATTCTTCCACTGCTTTTATGCTTAGAGAGAATAAATTTTCTAGATAAAATACAAAATTTCAATCAAAGCTTACTAAAAAACCGAAGTGAGCAGGAATTTTCATCCTACAAGGTTCATCTGAAAGTCCTTTCAGGATCTTGAAGAGAAGATACTATCTATGGGGAACACAACTAACATTTATTCAGTACAATTATATGTAAGACTCTATTCTAGGCACTTTCTAATTTAATCCTTATTTTATTATCTCAATTTTATAAATAAGGAAACTAATCAGACAGGTTAAATAGTGATCTATGAGAAAAAAACTCAGAGCTACTCTTAAAGAGAGACTGTCTAAATAGACCTAGACATCCAAATTAATTACTCACTTCTTCATCAATTTTATCTTCTAGGGCATCAATATGACGTTTTTTAAGAAATTGCTGTGTTTTCTCCAACTGGTATTTCACTAATTCCTCGATAGCATCTTTCTCCTCCTTGTCCACAAATTCTTGTACTGCTTCACCCATCCCTCTTTCTGTTAGCAGTGAGAGCTGGACATTCTGTAAGACAGATACAAATCACTGGTATCTATTCCTTACAAAATAGTTATATATGAGCAAGAAAAATTACAAAATAATGTTACCAGGGAAAAATACAAGACAGTTACCTAGTGATTGAAGGAAAAAAACCCCAAAACAGTGAACAGCAGTTAAGCCTACTGGTGAATATTAAGGGCCAGAAAAAGCAAAGTCAAAACCAGAAAAGGGAGGGGAGTATAAGACAGGTGACAATGTAGAGGCCTGAGTGGCTAGGATAGAGAGTCCAGAAATGGCAGTTGATGATTACGAGAGATTAGGTTAACCAGTGTGTAAGGTAGAATAATGGCACCCTCAAGATGTCTACATCTTAATCTCTGGGACCTGTAACAACACAGCAAAAGGGAATTCAGGTGCTAATCACCTGTCTGTAAAATAGAGATATTAGCAGAGACTACCCACGTGGGTCCAGTGTAACCACAGGGTCCTGAAAAGTAGAAGAGGGAGACAGAAGGGGGTCTGAGGGAGAAATACCTGTGGGAAAATGGTCAGAGAGACGCAACATTGCTAGCTTTGAAGATAAAAGAAGGGAACAAAAAGCCAAGAAATGTAGGCACCTCTACAAGCTGGAAAAGCGGAAGAAATGGATTTCCCCTTAGAGCCTCCAAAAAGGAACACAGCAATGCCAACTGCTTGATTTCAGTCCAGTGAGACCTGTGTAAGATTTCTGACCTACAGAACTTTAAGGTAACATCTTTGTGTTGTTTTAAATCACTAGGTTTATAGAAATTTGTTTCAGCAACAATAGGAAACTAATACAACTAGAGGATCTTAGAGTGGCATATACACATGATAGTAAGTTTGAGTGCTTTCACCATCATGTGGCTGTATTTGTAACGTAATTCTGAAATTACAACCAAATGTGAGAAAATTAGATATTGGATTAAGACTTTTGCAGCAGAGATAAAAAGATAGTGAGAGAATAACAACATCAACAGCCATGTTAATGATATTAATAACATTAAATACTAATTTGTCTTGATGTGCAGCAACTACAAATAAATGTAATTATTAGTCTTCTTACTTCAAAGAAACATTTTGAGGATTCATTTTGTTTAAACTATCAATTAAACATATCCTAAATTAAAATCTGCTATTATAAGACAGCCATTGTTCAAAATGTGAACTGTAAGAAATTACCTTCTCTGCAGTTTGAAAATACTGTTTTACAAGGTCTTCTACCCTTAGAGTTGTTCCTTCTGAAGGTTTTGTGATAAGCTTCCCAAAGTTGATCTCTTCTTCTAGAAAAAAGAAATCCATCAAAAAATAATAACTTTTATTATGATGATAAAGTGGCCAAACTCATTACAGGTTGTTGTCGGTGAAGAAGGTAATGCCAAACTTTATCAACTGCCAGCTTGCTCAACATGGTAAAATTTGAGGCAAAACAAGCCATTTTTGCTAATAGTCACGGTCTTTCCCCCGTAGTCGGTATTTCTTTTCCATATCTCTAAATGATATGTCTCTTGCAGCTGTACCCACCAGCTGGACCACAAACCTCTGGAGGTCCCTGAGACCCTTTCACAGGGCACACGTGGTCAAAACTACTTTCACAACAATACTAAGATGTTATTTGCCTTTTCACTATCTGGACATTTGCACTGATGATACAAAAGCAATCGTAGGCAAAACTGCTAGTGCCTTGGGATGAGTCAAGGGAGTGGCATAAAATTCCACCAGTAGTCACCATGACATATAATTCAAAACACAATAAGCCAGTTTCACTTAAGAATGTCCCTGATCTAACAGTTAAAATTATTAATTTAATTAAATCTCAGCCCTTCAGCATATATCTTTTTAACATTTATAAGACAAACAGGAAGAATGCTTAAAGCACTTTTGCTGCATTCCTAAGAAAGATGGCTGTCTCAAAAACAGTGGGTATAGACTGGAAAGAGTGCTAGGCAGGAAGTCAAGAAACATCAGGTACAGTATTGGCTCTACCAATAACCTTTACCAGATAAATGAATGTTAAATGTCTAGCAGGTGTGGGACCTGGTGTTAAAAACACAGCAATGAAGCCGAGCACAATGGCGCACACCTGTAGTCCCAGCTACTCAGGAGGCAGAGACAGGAGGATCACTTGAGCCCAGGATTTGAGACCTGCCTGGGCAACATAATGAGACTCTATCTCTAAAAAGAAAAAAGAAAAAAAAGAAAACCCAAAATACAAACATGAAAAAGATAGGATCCTTGCCCTTAACAATCAATTATTACAATCCAAGGTGGTACGTGCTACAGAGAATATGACATGTAGAGAAGAAAGCAATTATTCTTCTCAAAGAAGGCTGAAAGTCATGTGCAGGTATCAAAGGCAGCTATCATTTGAATCAAAAGTTGCAGAACAAATAAGATTCACTGAGCAAAAAAAGGGGAAAAAACATTTCAGGCAGAGAAAAAGTGTACAGAAAGGCCTAGAAAGGACAGGCACAAGTTCAGTGTTTCTCTTGGCAGGTGGTAGGGACAAGTAAACAAAGGTCTTTTTTGAATTTCAAGGCAGGAGGGTTAATATTACTATTATTTCATAAATATGATTACTACATTTTAATATGCCAGACACTATGTTAAGACCATTTACACACTGTGTATCATCTAATCCTCACAATAATCCTGTGAGGCCAAGCACTGTTATTATCCTCTTTTTATAGATGAGAAAAAGCAGAAGTTTAGTAATTTGCACAACATCATGCATATAGTTAAGTGGCAGAGCTGGCCAAAATAGAAAGTGCTTTCACTAAAACATATAAAAATGCCATTGTTTCCACTGAGTAATTTATGTTTAAACAAACAAAAAAATCACTAGAATAAAACTCAATATGAATGAAACTAAGTAAGATAAAGTACTAATTATATATTCTGTTTTTTTATGAATGCCACATCCATGACATTTGAAGGAATTGATAAAGATGTGCAATCAAACCATTATCAAGAAGCAACTAATTAAAATTCATAACATAAAAATACAATTCTCTGATAGGGGTCCCCCCACGCCACCCAAAACAGTATTATATAAGCTCCATTTAAATATATGAATGATTGTTTCAGGCTGAATTCACAGCATATCCAATTTCTGATCACAATTTGACAAGAAAATAGCCCATTAAATTTAGGCTAATAAAAACTTAGGTAGCTTACTTATCAACGAGGGCCATCCATGTCTGTGAAAATTCCCTGACTCAACAGCATTAAGGAGAAGAGCCTCTATATTTTACATGATCAATATGTCCTATGAAAAAGCACTATTTCAGTCAGACGATCTTATTTTATAAATGCAAAAAAAAGGGCAATTAGTTTCTATGAAATTTAACTGAAAATTAATTACCTGGATCATCAGATATATCAAACTATAGAACACCTTATTTCAAAAGTCTGAAGTCTTCCTAGATCCTTTAAAGTCAAAATATATAATAATATAAAAATTGAGAGTATATTCTCTGAAAATTAATAATATGTGGTGATGTTTAAATCTCTAAAGTCTGTGTGTGTTATTATTCAGCAGGACTGCTTAAAAAAATAATGTTTGCAGAGAAAGCCTTCCATTTCTTTATTGGTATCAATAGGTTTAAAAATGATTGCTATCTAATTTTTAGATGACAAGAGGTTTAATTATTCCAACTATCAGTTTATTTGTCTAACATATTACAATCATACTCAAACATCTTTCATCATTATTTTATATTTTTTTTACTAAAGATTGATTATACAACCCTATAAGAGCATTTTTTATCCTGTAAAAATAACTAGCTTACCTGTTTTTTCCTTTTGTTCTCTATGCCTGAAAAAATGGATAATGTCTTTTGGATTAGCTACCCGATCCACAAATTTCTGGCTAAAGCGAAGAACACTGAAAGGTTCAAAACCTCCACTATAGTCCACCTGGAAATACAGAATAACTCCATGAAGGCTAGGTTTAACAATTTCCCAATTTTCAAAAAACATACTCATCCTTCAGTATTTATAGGGTTTATGCTCAATACTTTTAAATTTATAAATTAATTTTCTACATTTTAAAGATCATGATAGTGTATCATTTATCCTATTGAGAAAATGATGCTTGGAAGATTTATAAGCATAAGCAAAATACTTTGTTCAATGGAATCAAGATACAACAATAATTTCCAGTGTTGGAATGATTACATCTCCCCGTGAAAACACTAATAGTCTAGGTACATACCAGGCATACCATCTGAAAAGAAGGTGAAACTTCTAAACAATTTTCTGAACTTTCACAACAAAACAACAAAAACCATCAAAATAAAACACCAGCCCTAGATGCATTAGTTAATTGGTCTATCGTTTCAGGGATGTGCCTTCACACTACACAAAGATGAATGCTGGGAAAATTCAGATAGCAAAGCATCAAATCTGTGAGCTTGGAGAATGATTACCTTCGAAACATGCTATCCTGCTGGAACTAACAATTTCTTTCAAGGCAGGCTCTTTCTAATGCTAAATAGACCTTACAAAGAGAAATATCACCTTTCCTTCTAAGAGATATGATCATTTTCCTACACTAGGTGTTCTCAAAGTATGCTCTGGGAAGCAGCATGCTCCCATCACCAGCTTATCCAGAATGCTCCCAGCCCAACTACGACCCACATATGCTCTTCGTCACATGTAGCGCATTCTGCTACATTTTCTGTTCATTTACCTGATATTTGTTTATCATGTCTCTCCTCACACCTCCACCTCCTGTAAGCTCAACAAATTTAAAACCTCATCTGTTTTACAGCAGCATCGCTGTGTCCCCCAGAATCCATAACAGAAGGTACTCAATAAGATTTGTTCAATGAAACAATGAATTAATGAGGGTCCTTTAGTCAATACAATGTAGTTTTGTAATATTATTAATACTTACATGACAATAGCTGCTCTTTTGTTTCATGAATGAATTAATGCTTTACTGTGTTTAGGGAAAGAAATGCCAATTTTTCTATTTAGGTCTGGTTAGTTCTAATGGTGTCAGATATATATAGATGAGAAAAATGGGATCTTTTGCTCTGATGAAGACTATGTGGTTCCCTTAAAGTAGCTGCCTTTGTATCACCCATGGTCCCACACCATCTCTACAGATGCCATGTTATAAAAGAGAAACTGCTAAATGCTAAAGCTGTTGGGTCTCCCCAAAATTCCTCAGGCATTTTAACAATTATACTCTAGCCTAGCTTTTTATTTGTAATTTTCTGCTCCTAAGAGTTATAAAACTGATTCATTAAACAAACTTTGTTGGGTATCCTCAAGGTTCTAGGCACTCTGCTAAGGGCTAGGGACACAATCATAAATAAAACCAATCTTGACTGCCAAGAAATACACAAGCTGACTGGGAAGGCAAACACACAGATAACTAAGCAGAACGTGACAGGTGCTCGCCCGAGCTGAATACAGTGGCATCTGGTTGGCAGTGCCCATCTCATATCAGCCAGGGACAAAGTAACCCCTTGTTTGTCCCAGGTTGGCTTTTGGTCTGTGCCCACACATGGTTCATGTCTGGACATGTGGGTTTGAAAAAGAAAAATTAAAAAAAAAAAAAAAAGTGTGATTGGTGCTGTAAAACGGTATCTACAGAGTAGAATGAGTATGTAGGGGAAGTGGCATGAACTTTGAGGGGAGGTCAAGAAAGGCTTCCTTGAAGAGGGAGGCTTCCAGGTTTAGGTGGGTGCTAAAGGAGGTGTAGAGAAAGGAAGAGTGAAGTGCGTTCCATGCAACAGGATCAACATGAGCAGAGGTTCCAGTGAAACAAACTCCACTGAATCCAGGGAACAACTTTTGGTCCGATAAGACTGGAACTTAGGATGTGCTTGCAGGAAGAGGAGGAAGAAACCAAAGAGGTTGGTTTAGACCAGATCATATAGACCCCTGTGTACTATTCTAAAAAGTTTAGACTTTTTCCTGTTAGTGCTAGGGGATCATTAAGATGTTTTTTGGCAGGAAAGACATGCAAGATTGTGTTTTACAAAGATCATTTTGGCATTAGTGTGGAGAAAAAGCTAGTGGTGGGGAGACAAGACAACTGGAGGCAGAGTCCTGGAAGGATGCTGCAGCAATAGGCCAGTAAGTAATAATAAGCACTCAGCTACAGCAACGACAGTGGGATACAGAAAAGGGACCACGCCACTTACTGTGCACAATTTAATTCATTTGGATCTCATAAATCTATGATGTACAAACCCAGGGACAAGAGATCCAGTTGCTCAAGGTCATACACCTAGTGGTAGGGCCAGAATCAAACCCAAGTAGTCTGGCTCTAGACTGCATTCTTTATCCCCTTTACATCCAGAATCCCAGGACTTCTCAAATTTTAATGTACACACAAATTTCTTGGGGATTTTGTTAAAATGCAGTTCAGTCTGAAGTGGTGCCTGAGATTTTGCATTTTTAATAATTTCTGAGGTGATGCCAATGCTGCCGGTATAAGAAGCAAATTTCTTGAGTACCAGGCTTTAGGGGACCCCCAGATGTACAGATCACATGAAGGTCTGGGTGGGCACAGTGGCTCTCGCCTGTAATCCTAGCGCTCCGGGAGGCCAAGGCAGGAGGATCGCTTGAGCTTAGGAGTTCAAGACCAGCCTGAGCAAGAGCAAGACCCCGTCTCTACTAAAAATAGAAAAATTAGCCGGGTGTCATTGCACATGCCTGTAGTCCCAGCTACTCAGGAGGCTGAGGCAGGAGGATCGCCTGAGCCCAGGAGTTTGAGGTTGATGTGAGCTAGGGTGACTGGCACCACAGCACTCTAGCCTGGGTAACAGAGTGAGACTCCGTCTCAAAAACAAACACAAACAAAAACAAGAAGGTCTAAGTAAAAATTAGGGAGTCATCACTCTGTAGGTGGTTGTTAAAGCCATATGCCTAGACTGAAAAAAGGGCTAACTAAGAGTTACGAAGGGATACAGATAACTCAGAGAATGCCAAACAGTGAGTGATTCAGCAAGATGAAAAAAAAAAAATCTATTGGATTCAACAACTGAAGGTCACCTTCTCTACTTGATATGGTGAGGTCACAGCCTTAATTTTAGTAAATTGGGGAAGAGAATGTTAGATGAGGAGCACAGGTTATATATTTTTAGGGGCTTGGAAGAGAATAAGAAAGACAGGGTAGGAGCTAGGAGAAGGGAAAAGCACAGTGGCTAAGAAGAGGTCTATGGTTGTATCTTTGTTTATATCACCATGGAAAAGATAAGTAGGTTTATTAAGGCACAGAAAATAATTCAAACAACAACAAAAACAAATAAACTGCATGTGATATGGAGAAAAAAAGGAAAAGAGGAAGGAGAAGGTAAGTGAAATTGGGAGCTTTGTAGGGAAGGTTTGGGGAGTGTAACGTTAATGAGGTGGGGCCCTGGTGAGGTAACGCGTGAGCAGACCGAGGGAGGTGAGAGAGCATCTGACATGCCTGAGAAACCACAATGAGGCCAAGGTGCCTGGAACAGAGTAAGAGGAGGAGAGTAGTTAAAGGTGAAGTCAGAGATCACAGCTAATCTATTAAACAGAGCAACAAATTATTCAGAAAATGAGAAAAAGAAGAAAATATCAAACCTATCAATTAAACTATGATTAAGTCAAATCCTTACAGCTTTATTGTTTTGTCTCCAGTGGTGATTGCTCTTTATTACAAATAAGCGCTCTTCTTACTACTTTTCAAAAAATCCATAAAACTGTACAGTGTTACACTTTGAAAATTAATAGTTTAATTTATATAAATAGGACTTACTCGCAGGCGTATAAGAGGCTTCTCTGGCTGTCGAGAATTCCCCAGACGTTCCCGTTCTGCATTTTCAAGCATTACTGTAATCTTAAAATAAAAATAAAGATTAAAATCAAAGTATTAAATTTGATTTAAATCGGCTGAATAGCAGCTTATATTCCTACCATAGGAATTTCTCTGAACTACATAATCATCTTTATTTCCTTGGTCATTTATAACACCTTTTTAAATATACCTTCTTGTAATGCTCCCACTAATACCATTCCTTAAAGTTTTTCTTTATGGAAATTCTAAATAAGATAATTTTTCAATCTCTAAAGTAATTCTTTTACAAGAAAATTTAAAACATTACTCCTGCTCCAATGTTCTACTCATGTTTCAATAAGGCTTCTCTCAGCTCACCAACTTAAAACCAAAATAAATCTAGCTTTCTCCGTCATACCATCCATAGGAGACTAACCAGAATATTTAGAAATCTACCTATAAACAAAGGATCTTGGGTTATTTTTCTTGGAAGAGTTCAAGTTAAAAGAAATAAGACCAATGTTTTCAAATATCTTAAGTTATCTTATACTATCAGAGGACAAGATTATAAAATTTTAGACTTGATGAGATCTGAGAACAAAAACACTTGTTCTCATGAAGAGAACCAAGTTACAAGGAGGCAATACTAGAAGCCTTTTCACAAGTGGTTGTGTGCACAGTGATGAGGTATCTTCAGATGGCCAATTTCATAGTTGAACAACTCTAGTTGTCAGAAAGTTTCTGTGCTGGGAATTAAAATCTTCCTCCTTATAACTTGGTTCTGAGCTTAGGAACAATATAGAACAAGTGTTTTTGTCCTCAGATCTCTTCTAAGATTTTTAGATCTTAGATTGTCCTTTAAACTTAACAAAGCAGTCTAACAGAACTTTCTGTGATGATGTTTTGTATCTGCAGTATTTAATAGAGTTGCCTTGAGCCACTTGTGGATTCAGAGCACTTGAAATATGGCTAGTACAAGTGAGGAGCTGAATTTTTAATTTAATTTTAATTAATTACATGTAAACAGCCAAACATTCTAGTGATTATCATATTGGACAGCACAGATCTCCAATAGGATCTTGTAGGTCAATTCTTTGAATTCAACAAGAACTGACAGAGCACCTTTTTGCCAGGTACTAGGTCAAACACCTAGGTGTTTAAAATGGACCTTTATTGCTTTTGTGTCACCAGCATCTGCTTTCCTCTCTGGATTCATGCCACCACTCAAAGTCCAAAGGATTTAGGTGGAGCTGATCCAGTGGATCTCAACCAGAGGTGATTTTGCCCCTCCAGGGGACATCTGGCAAAGTCTGGAAACAGTTTTGGTTGTCATGACTGGGAAGAAAGGGTACTACTGCCATCTAGTAGGTATGGGCCAGGAAGGATGCTGCTAAACATCCTACAATGCACAGAACAGCCTCCCACAACAAAGAATTATCTAGTCCAAAATGTCAATTGAGCCAAGGTTGAGAAACCTTGGGCTGACTCCAGGGCAGGGCATATTACTCGTGTCTGGATGCAATCCATGTGAAATCAATCAATTATATAGCATCTTTCTGGCTTCAGAGACTGGGTTTAGGGATGCATACATGACCTTGGCCCAGTGAAACTCAATGCTAGGGGTTTATATGGAAATACTAAAAAAAATAATTCAGGTGTAAAGATAAGTCTGTGGGCCATCATGTGAAAATGTCTTCTTTACAGAGAAGCTTAACACAGAAACCGTCAGAGTAGTTGGCAGGGGGCTGGACATAACAGAAAGAGAGAAATCAGCAATCCCAATTTGAGTTTCTGGAGTCAGTCATCTTGAAACCAGCATACTCTTAAACTTTTTAGTTACGTGACCTACAAGCTACACATTGCTTATAAAGCTGTGTGACTATGATGACTTACTTTATCTAAGGTTCAGTTCCCTGTACGTAAAACGTAGATGGTAAAACCTACTACTGGCTGGTCCAATGGTAGTGGGTTATCAGAACTTACTAACATTAGTGTCACTAAAGTTGATATTTAACCCCCCACTACTAAATTTGACTGGCTTTAAAAAATAAAAAAAAAAGAACCTACCTACTTACAGCATTGTTAACTGGATTAAATGCTGTCAACAGTGTGCAGCACATATAATCAGTTAATATTGATCATAATTATTATCATTTTTCTATTTTACATGAATTTTATGATAATAAAATATAAAGTAGAAAAACTGGCACAGAGTAAGAAGTGAGTGTCAGTAATTAGTGTTATTAAGCTGTCCACCTACATATTATTAAATGCATTCACCTGATTTCAGTAGTGCCTCTGGAATTTTTAGAGGTTTAGGGGTGGCAATCTGCATGGAAAGTGAGGTATGGGAATTATGCTGAAGGTACAGGGTGAATAGCAAACACATCTTAAGATTTTATTTGAAGCACCTTTCAGGGAAAAAGGGACATTTAATAGAGATTATTAGAGAGGCTAAGGCTTTCCCCATGCACTACAGTACTCTCTTATCCCAATCAAAGCCACCGCCTGCTTTCACAAATAAAATCACAAATTATCAAATCAGGATTAAAAAAGAGGAAAGATTATGTATATGTTTTTGAAAAGAAGGAAAGGATGTGGGAGAAGGATTTAATTAAGGTTTTTTTCTATATCCAGCATTCATCAATCTCAATGACTTAAAAAATAAAGATCTTTGACACAACTAAACTCATTTAATGAACAACGGTGGTTCTTTACAGGCTTCATGAGAATGCAACCAATGTAAAGGCCTCCCTCTCCTCTATGAAATTATTTACTAGAAGGTAAATAATTCCTCAACTAAAGCAGGTCTCACTGACTTTACTTAAAGAATTACCTTCTCCGAACAGAAGCTTTGTATGGCTTGGGTTACTTTAGGATTATCTGGGTTAAAAATGTCCAGATGATTAGCCAGAACAACATCCTCCATAAAAAACTGCCGCACTGTCTGAAGAGGAATTTTCTGCATATTCATCTTCCTCCCTTTAACACGCAGCAAACCAACATGTCTAAAATGGAGAGAAATGAAAATCTAGTCACAATGCAAATTTCCTCAGGAAAATGTGCACATAAAAGCTATCATATTTCTCACTTATTTTCTAAAAATATTTCTTCATAAAATCATACCCTTAAAAATAAATGTTTCTGGCAATTTAATCTTAACATTATCATCAAAGGAAAAAATGGCATTCTCCTTCCCCAGAATAAAATCCACTCATCCATTATTCTTCCTGCTTGAACAAATATACAGTCTCATATGGAAAGACAGACATAACAATAAGTATAGTAAAATGTTATCAAGGCCATGAAAGCAGTATATATAGACTACATTATGTATAGATGTATTATGTATATACGTTACATACATACATAAAATGATTTAGCAGAATCATGAAAAAAACCCAACATACACCCTATTACCATATTCTTTAAACCTATTATTATCATCATAGCAATCAGAACCTGAGTACATTCAAAGGGTAAAACCTGTTATAAAAATTAATTTTAATCGATGTTAAGTACTCTTTTTTTTTTTTTTTTTTTTTTTGAGATAGAGTCTCACTCTGTTGCCCGGGCTAGAGTGCCATGGCATCAGCCTAGCTCACAGCAACCTCAAATTCCTGGGCTCAAGCGATCCTTCCTGCCTCAGCCTCCTGAGTAGCTGGGACTACAGGCATGCACCACCATGCCTGGCTAATTTTTTCTATATATATGTTTTTTAGTTGTCTTATTAATTTCTTTCTAATTTTTAGTAGAGACGGGGTCTCGCTCTTGCTCAGGCTGGTTTCGAACTCCTGAGCGCAAACAATCTGCCCGCCTCGGCCTCCCAGAGAGCTAGGATTACAGGCGTGAGCCACCGCGCCTGGCCAGTACTCTTTTTTATCACATCATTTCCCCCAAAGAGTTAAAAGAAATGAAATATGCTATAATATTGCATTTGTAACCAGAAAAAAAATCTCGATTTAAGGGAATTTGTTTATAAATGGACTTTATGAAATTAGTAGTCATCACCTGTAGCATCTAACTTAAATGTAATAAATAAAAACGTTAGTCTTGAATATGACTAATGAGTAGCAAAATCATTAACACCAATTGCATGCCCTGTTATTGAAAATGGCTTAAAATCTGGGAAAACAATAAGACTATATAGAATGATTAATCTTCATAAATAAATCCAACGCAGAAATAATAATACTGTCAGTACCCTGAACTTATGGGATGATTAGATTATTATAGCAAAGATTTCTAAAAAATTGATTTGAAATATATAACAATTACTCACTTCTTTACTGCTTCTCCTGGGGAAAGAGAAGTAACCACTGAACTTCCAGGTTGTGATATATAAAAGAGTTGTTGTTCATTTTTGGTTGGAGCTATTTTACACTCATGCTCATGGCCCCAAATAACAAGATCAATGAAGTCATCCAAAAATTGTTCTGGAATAAAGTTAGTGCTTCCATGTTTACTCCTATACCAAGATTTTGAAAAATAAATAATGTAAATTTGCAGTCATATAGAAAAATTTCATATTAAGTCTATAAGAGTCTTTTGATCCATTCTCTGAAGATTTATTACATCACTTTCTGTGCCAGAAACTGTGCAAGGGATTAGAAATGCAAAGATAACTAATATCTAATTCTTGACCTCACTAGGTTTACAAACTTGCAGAACACAGAGAAGTAGGAACCTTAAAAAAGGAAACAGTCAATTCTACATTTAGAGGAAGATCATGAAAGGCTTTATGCAGGAAGGACTCCCCCTTTGGTCATGTCAGAAAAGCATAAACTCTATCAATAGCAGAAACCTATAAATCAGTATGATTATATACAAAAAAAAAGAATATGGAAAATGAAAGTGAGTTAAGTATAAATGTCCAATAACTTTTTTTTTTTACTGATTATAAAAATAATGGGAATAAAAATGTCAATCTTACATATGAGATAAGAGTTTTCAATATCAAACATTGTACAAATAAGCGATTTGCAAACTCTGGTTTTATAACTAGACTAGTTATTTAAAGATATATGAAACCCCAGGTGAAGACAAGACGGAAAAGTTTTCCCTAACACTAACTTATATCATTGGAGATTTAAGTTAAAGTGTTCAAATACTTCAACCTAGCATTTGCATAATCCAAACCAATAGTTTTTCATTCAGCAAACAAATATCTACTTTATGCTAGATGTGCCAGGGTTCTTCAAGATATTGAAGACACAGCAGTGAACAAAGTCCTTGCTCTAGTGCAGGAATTAAGCAATACACGTTGAGCATTCCTAATCCAAAAATCCAAAATCCAAAATGCTCTGAAATCTAAAACTTCTTGAGTGCCACATGATACAAGTGGAAAACTCCACACATAAGTACTTTTCTTTTTCTTTTTTTTTTTGAGAGAGAGTCTCGCTTTGTTGCCCAGGATAGACTGCCGTGGCGTCAGCCTAGCTCAGAGCAACCTCAGACTCCTGGGCTCAAGCGATCCTCCTGCCTCAGCCTCCAGAGTAGCTGGGACTATACAGGCAAGCACCATGATGCCTGGCCAATAATTCCTTTCTATTTTTCAGTAGAGACAGGGTCTCACTCTTGCTAAGGCTAGTCTTCAACTCCTGACCTCAAGCGATCCTCCTGCCTCAACCTCCCAGAGTGCTAGGATTATAGGCGTGAGCCACCATGCCTGGCCCACACATAAGTACTTAACACAAACTTTGTTTCATGCATAAAATTATTTAAAATCTTGTTAAAATTACCTTCAGGTTATATGTATAAGATATATATAAAACATAAATGAATTCTGTGTTTAGACTTTGGTCCTATACCTAAAATATCTCATTATACATATGCAAATATTCTAAAATCCAAAAATATCCTAAATCTGAAACATTTCTGGTCCCAAGCATTTCAGATAAGGGATACTCAACCTACTATACAATATGTACATGCTCTCGCGTGTGTATGTGTGTGTGTTTAACTTGACAGGCAATGATAGGCGCTATAAAGAAAAATAAAGGGAAAAGTTACATGAAGGGGCATATTATCCTCCATATACATAGGGTAGTCAGGAAAGGCTTCTCTGACAAGTAACAACTGAGCAGAGAACTGAGATGAAGGACAGTATGAAAGGGAAGAAAGTCCTGGGCAGGGGAAGAGCAGATGGCAAAGGTGCTAAAGTGAGAAAGTGTTCAGTAAGTTCAAGGAAGAGCAAGGAGATCAGTGTGGCTAAGCAGAAGGAATGCAGGGAAGACAGACAATGAAATCAGAGAAGCGGCAGGCTGTGTATCCAGGAATTTTTTTTTTTTAATGTAAAAAACATACATCTAGGGTATAAGACTATCACAATTACCAAAAAAAAGCAGGATAACTCTCAAATACAACATGATGCCATTGTGCCTTCATAGAGTGCTGGCTCTTTCACAGAGATGACACTGGTAGGCTGGCTCTAATTTGTGACCTAGAAGCTGATCAAAACATTCTTGTTGAAAGATTTTGCACAACAAAATCCTCTTCTGATTCTTCCTTCTTTTGCAGAGGTAAAAAACCCACCAATGTAGAGAAACAAATGGGAAATAAAATAAAGTGTAGAAGACTCAAGAATTCTCACTCAATCTGAAAAAACCTGTTTTTTGTAACTCTCATGAAAGCAATAAAAGAAGTCATCTATGAATGCAAAGGGTGACAAATGAATCTAACAGTGTTACAGAAGAATCACATAACCACAATGCAGGGAGTGGGAAGAAAAAGAGCTAACTAAGTAACTTTGGAAAATGATGTTTTGACTAGATATACTAAGGCTAAAGACTAAAATAACTTACATAAACATTATACCCAAGTTGGCAAATTTGTTTCTGACACAGGTATGGGTTAGCAATTTTGAAATTACTTTATATGTAAACCGTCATTGAAAAAATAAGTAAATATATTGTAGATAATAGAATCTAGGCTTCTGCTAGAGAAAGAAGTCATAATAAGGAAGGGAGAAGACATAAACGGACCTGTAGGGCTGGATTAGAATCAGCATGAACTCATAGTTATTTCTTTAGCACATACATAGACAAATATAGAAATATAGATGTGTGTGTATATGTATGGGTTACTATTCATATCAATACAAATATATTCCCTTAACTCTGTTTGCTGAGAGAGCCCCATAGCAATGAGCACAGTCAGTATCCATATATGGGTTTCTAAATATCACACTCCAATAAAAGGAATAAGATCTCCTTGGAAAAGTGGTTGATTCCAGGGCTAGGGCAGGAAAATACAAGAGCCTGGAGCATCTTGTGGTGTCATAAAGCTAAGGACATGCTAAAAAAAAAAAAAAAAAAAAAAGGAAAGGAAAAGAAGAAAAGGAAAGAAAAGAGCCTGCAATGGTCAAAGCTGAAACAATCTGATGAACAGCAATGACAAAAAAACTGATAGTACTGGATTATAACGCGAAGAATAAAATAAAGATCCTTAAATCCATAATAACATAAATAAATAACTGAATAAGTAAATAAATGGAAAAGAAGAAGGGACAAACCTTCTTTACAGAAAAATTCCAATTAATAAATTGACAGAACAAGGGAAATAAAAAGTCAATATTACAACACCACAGTATTAATTGCCGGAAACAAGATTACCAATGGATCTTAGGTGAAAGTTTGAAGTGAAACAGGATATTTGCAGAGCCTCAAAGTATTTTTCTCAAAACGCTTATTAATTATGAAGCAGAAAATGGAAATTTTACAGTGAAGAAACCTGGTATACACCCCCCTTAATCAAAGGATCAGGGCTAACATCACCAACAATGAGACAAATCAACATCGTATGTTGACTACCCCTTCCCCTTACCAATGCTGCCATTCTACCTTTTATCCTGGCTGAAATTCTTGGAATTTCTTATGATTTTCCCTTCCAACTTATTCCTACTTTAGCACAGTACAAAGTGTGACAGAACTGGGAAGCCCCAAGCAAGAGAAGGAAAAACTTCCAGTGGTGAAAAGGTACATGGAGACCACACATATCAAAACTCTGGCCTGATCCTTCTTTGAAACTCACACTGTTCATTAGTAAACTCAACACATAAGGCAATACAAGTCAGCCTCCTAAACTCTTTCTTTTATCCAACTCTGAGCATAAGTTTGCATTCAGTAAATGCACAGATAGTCTGCATCCAATAAATGTGTTCAACACAGCTGACCCTCTATATCCACCATTTCTTGGATTCAACCAATCATGAATCCAAGATATTAAAAAAAAAATACCAATACAACAATAAAAAATAATACAAATTTTAAAAACAATACAGTGTGACAAATATTTGCATAGCATTTACATTGTACTAGGTAGCATAAGTAATCTAGATTTAAAGTATACAGGAAGATGTGTATAGGTTATATGCAAATACTACTCCATTTTATATAAGGGATTTGAGTATCTGAGGATTTTGAAATCCACAGAGCATCCTGGAACCAACCCCCCCTTGGATGCAGAGGGATGGCTATAATAAATTATATAATCTGGCCTCAAGTCCCTCAGATCCGTTGTCTACAACTTCTCAGGTTTGTCCCTCCCATCTCACTGCCATCACTGTCCCAATCTCACATTTTTTACTGCAATGCTCACATAATAACTCTTGCTTCTTTAAGTCTCTCTTCCTTTCAATCAATCCTGTACCTTAACAACAGATTAGACTTCTTAAAACTACTAATAAAAGAAAGCTAATCTAGTTATATATTTACATAATTCTGGAACACCTGCATATATGCACTGGGAGATGTGTCTAAGAATGTTTATTACAGCAAGGTGTATAAAAGCAAAAATCACAAAAAGCGAATGACATGTTCATTAACTATTCACATCAGTAAAAATGAATTACATTTCTATGCAGCAAAATGGATGAAATCTCAGTAATGTAACGCTGAGCATTAACTATTAAATATACAGCATGATACAATCATGAATATATATATGAATAAACAATAAAGAAAAGTAATGGAATGATTAATCCAAAATTAAGAATAATGAGGCAGATAGGATCAAGGAAAGGGATGGGATAATGTACTGATAAGATTCTGTATTTTTGCTGAATTTAGGAATATTAATTCTATGGTTATTATTATGGCTTATCCATATGTTAAAAATATTCTTTTAGAGGTATTAATATATACTAAGAAAATTTTCAAAACAAAGTCACACAAAGCTAAGTTTTGCTTGATCCTGTACTAACAACCTTAAAAGATTCAGGGCATTTAACTGAAATTGATGAGCTTAGAAACAGAGATTTGGGAAATCGCAGTACTTGGCTCAAAAATTTTCAGAGAATACTTTTACCTGTTCTGATGAATCACAAATAAGTTAAACCAAGAGTTCTCGTCTTCTTTTGGTCTCAACATTGTTACTTTTTTATTGACAAACATTCGATAGAGCCTTTCATCTGGAATGGAGCCTGAAATGGACATTACATTATTTTTAAATTGTTTTCTTACTTTGGTTTAAAAAAAATGAATATATTTTGCTTCTAAATTATGTGTTGTCCCAAAGTATTTCATTTTACTGTTTAGAGATATATTTAATTCCGGAATCATTGACTAATGAGCATTTCCAGGTTCTTGACAGCAGTTAATTGTATTCAAAAAATGTTTTCCATTTCAGGAGTATACACCTTTAAAATCAGGAAAATGTGGAATAAAAATGTGAGTTGCCTATGCTTAAATTCTTATTAAAACTTCTAGTTTTCACTATCCTTTTATTATAAATCATAAGTATACATACTTTTGATGTGACATATACATAATATGCACAGAAACAGATATTGAAAGGGATGAGATTCAGTATTTAAAAACGCAGTATTCTTATTTATATTATAAAAGCAAAAGATAAATAAATAAAAGTATTATGCCTTTTAATAATTCAATGACTTTCAAATAATTCTTTCTATACTCCATAGGCTCACCTTGGTCTAGGGAAAGAGACCAGCAAAAACAAGTCAACAAAATAATTACAAATTGTAAATATTATAAAAGGGGGAAAAGCCAGGATACTAAGATGGAGAATAACAATACAGGGCAAGGGTACACTGATTAGAAAAGGTCTTAGAGGAAAAGCCAACAATGTCGAAGTATAGGAACTAGAAGTGGCCCAGCTCCCAAAGAGAATTCCTCGGGTGTGGCCAATGGAATATATAGCTGAGGTAGAATGCAGAACATATAAGTGAGACAAAAAAATCAAGGCATTCAAAGCCGAGGACATTAGGAAGTTAATCTACTTAGGCATTGAAGCATTGAGAACACTGACAAAATTAAAGGTAGGTAGGTAGGTAAAAAGTCTGAGGGAAAGGGAAGGCAGTTTAGCCAGACGGCATAAGCTTCAAGGGAGCAGGGTGTTTGCAGGCAGGAAGGGAAGTGGTGGTGGGTAGCAAGGAGAACAGTGATCCCCTCCTCTGCCCAAAAACCATGGGTGAGAAAACTGCATGAGACACAGGAACCTCAGGGCCCAGCCGGGCTTCACCAAAGGTCAGAAAGTGGAGGCAACATTCAGAGAAGAAAATGAGAACACTGAGGACTATGCCAATCACAGAAAGACTTCTAGAGTTTACAGGGAAGGGTTGGGGTGAGGGTAGGGGTGGAGGGTGGAGACAGAGTTCATTTAAGGAAAGAACAATAGGATAAGAGTCGGCAGAAAATGGATGACTGGAGAGATGTGTTTCTGGTGCTGACTGAGGCATAATGGACCTGTCCTTAGTCTGAATGTAGGAGAAACCGTTTTCTGGAGACTTGATCCCTAACATTGCAGTGATTAAAACAACTGTTACAAGCTTTCTTTTAAAAAAGTATATTTCACTTCCTGCTCTATCAATTGCAAAATCAGACATAATACCCAGATTTCACTTTCCATATCTCTAAAATATAAATACCCATGATGCTTTTCTATTTGCAAGAGATTATGAAAGCTGGACAAAGACTGTAAACTAGTGGTTACTGTATTGGAAAGTGAAGCTTTAGAACTTTCAAAGACTTCAAGATATCAAAATGCAGTTTTGCTAATTATTCTATAATTCTAACATTCAGGATTCCATTATCTGAGTCTAAAGGGAAAAAAAAAACAAAAACAACAAATAGATAGTGAAGGAAAAATATTTTTCACCCAAACTGCTATTAAAAACAAGTATTAACAGCTATTGGTCCTTATTATATACAAAAAAATTTTTACCAAAACCTTTCATCATTTTTTATACTCACCAATAAGGAATAATCAGATTTGCCCCACTTTTTCCAAAGTTATCTCCAAAATTTTATTTCCTAATTGTTTAAACAATCACTTATTGACAAAATAATAAAGTAAAACCATCTTACCTAAACCATATAGTGCAATTTTTGTGCTTCCTTTTTGAAGCAAAACTGGACTAATGTCTATCTTCTCCACAGACATTGAACGTCCAAAGTGATTTACAAATCCAGCACAACTTAAAATATCCAGGGCACAGAGTGCATCTGCCTATGCAAAATAATTTCAAAGAATATTAATGTGTATACAAAAAAAGGTGATCTGTATGCATATCACCTGTTAAAAGCATACTTCATGTACTAGTTACAAAAACACAGATGAAGATGTCTTCTCAAAACAAAATTACAAAAGTAAAAGTATTTGCCACCTTTTTTCTATTTGAAATCACCTACAGCAACTGGAATCACAAGCTAAATACAAAGTTAACATCTCATCAAAGCTTATCATGATGTCTTGGCCACTAAAAAATAAACATCAGCCATGAAATAAATGCTTTGTAATATTAAGCAGACCTCTTAAAACCTGGGGAAAGAAGACTATAATTAGTGATTCATAATATTAATAACTAGATAAAACAAAAAGAGACTTTGAGTTTAGGATCTCTAATTTTACTGCCACATCAAATCTGTAATAAAATAATCTAATATAGATTTAAAGATGTTTGTGACACAATCATTTCCTGTAAGTGAGATTTTATAAGACAGATAAAAAACCAATAGTAAACCGTAAAGCACTTTACAAATATTAGATATTTATTCCTACTCCTGGCTACTTATCGTTTTTTTGTTTTTTTTTTTTTTGAGATAGAGTCTCACTCTGTTGCCCGGGCTAGAGTGCCATGGCATCAGCCTAGCTCACAGCAACCTCAAACTCCTGGGCTCAAGCAATCCTCCTGCCTCAGCCTCCCAAGTAGCTGGGACTACAGGCATGCGCCACCATGCCCGGCTAATTTTTTCTATATATTTTTAGTTGTCCGGCTAATTTCTTTCTATTTTTAGTAGAGACGGGGTCTTGCTCTTGCTCAGGCTGGTCTGGAACTCCTGACCTCAAGCGATCCACCAGCCTCGGCCTCCCAGAGTGCTAGGATTACAGGCGTGAGCCATCGCGCCCGGCCCTGGCTACTTATTGTTAACCTTAGCACTCATGGAGTAAAAACATAGCTCATACACCAATTCTTATTCCAGATTAAAAAAAAAAAAACCTAAAAAGCAGTATAAAAACTTATATGAATGATTAAAAAGTCAGTTTGACTTTCTGATTCAATTCGACTATAAATTGCTGGGAAAATGGGGAGGAATATTTTCCACAAACTAAACTAAACATTTCTAAAATTTGAACTGTAAGAAAACAATAATTACCCCTGTGGGATCATCATGATTGCCATGAATACTAAACACTGGAATTGAAATGTTGAGATTGCCATCTTGGTAGTTCACCCATGGAAACCTTAAAAAAAAAAAAAAAGTTAAGTAAAGTTTCTAAAAGGGACAAAAGCTATTTTCCCTAAGATTCTCTTCCAGAATATTAATGCAATCATAGGCAAAATATATGATCTAAATTGGCAAATGACCACTAGTTCGGAGCTTTAAAAAAGAAAAAAACAAACAAACATAGGCAACAATACATTTCAATTAAAGTTCGAAAATATCTTGACATACTACATTTTAAACAAAACCCAACAACAATAAATGGTGTTTGTGAATTGTATGAAAGAGTGGTACATATGATTAAGGAAAACTTAACAGGCCTTCAAAATTATGAAAACCTTTGTATAAGGTTTTTATTTGTAGTGTGGGGAGAGGAGAAAACCCATGTACTTTAGAATCCAAAAGACCTAGCTTAAAATCCTCAGCTTTATCACTTACTACTCTACCTGTGCATCTGAAAGTCTCCGGCCTACTCCTGCCCCCAGCTCCTCTTCTCAGAGGCAAAGAATGTTAGCAATTTCTAGCGCATCTTTCAAAAAGATCTTATACCTATACAAGTTTATGTGTTTGTGTGTCTTATATGGAAAGTATTATACACAAGTAATCATTCACTCAAGCACATAAATATACTTACTTACTAAAACCAAAGTTGACTGACTGATCACTGATAATTTCAAACTGGACAGGACGATCACCCATACAGTATTTTCTTAATAGCTCGAGGCAGCTATGTAACGTTTTCCTTGAGGGCTTATTTTCATGAAAAAGATCACCACCTAACAAAATAAAATCCACCTAATCAACAGAAAATGGTGTTAAAATTAGTAGGTTTTACAGGTAAAATTTTTGTAAACTATAGATGAAAAAGGTAGAAAAAAATCTCACAAAAGACACTATTAAGTAAGATGATTTAAAATTTTACATTTTATTTATCCAAAGGGCCTTTCAATCTGGCGATTAATCTCACTCCAATTTAAGTTACCAAGCCATCTTCAAAAAAGCCATCTTCAAATTAGTACACCAAGTCCCTGACCCAGGCCACCCAAGGTGATCATATTTCTTTTTTTATTATTCAAATCAAACACAAATTTAGCACTTTAATAGAAAGTACAGGAAAGAGATAGCAAATTCAATTCAAATTATTCACTCAATTCATTCAAGGATTATTCATAAAGTTCCTACAGGTACTGGTAGCTAAGGAAACAGCAATCTACAAAATAGATGATGTCCCTGTCTCATTAAGTACTGACGAGGTACAAGACCCTATACCGGGTCCTGAGGATACAATGGTGAATAAAATATGATCCCTATCCTAAGTATGTGCACACTGTAACGGACGAGACAAACTGCTATGCACCTAAATGTTAAGTCGGTCTCTGACATAACCTGGAATGGGTATGTCAACAACCAGCAACAGAAATGACATTACAGTGAATTCCAACTCAGGGGAGCACAATTCATCTAAGAATAGAGTCCGCGAGGGATGTGCTAACATGGAGCATATGAGTTGTACTATGAAGAATAAATGAGATTTTGAGGAACAGTGTTCTAGGAACAATCTCAGTGAAGGAGGAAAATCACAGGGAAAAAAGGTCTAACACGCTTTCAAGAAGTACACAATCTACCTAAAGAAACTTAAGTTCTTAATTATACAAAGGAACACTGAAATATAGATCACTGTGGCTATACTATTAATAGCTAGGGGAACTTTAATAAAAATGTGGGATTTAAGGTAAGGCTTCAAGAACAAACATGATTTAAGTAAGAAAATGATCATAATCAAAGGCATGGAATCAACAAAACAAACAAAAAATATATTGGGGGAATGAGGAGTTGTTGCTTAATAGGTTATCACTTTTGCAAGATGAAAAGAGCTCCAGAGATTGGCTGCACAGCAATATGAACGTACTTAACACTACTGAACTGCATATTTAAAAATGGTTAAGATGGTAAATTTTATGTTACATATTTTTCACCACTATTAAACCATTTTTTAAAAATATTATTAAAAACTGGCTTTTAGTGACTCCAGGAAACACTGAGAAGAACTCAACTTGCTTCTGTGGTGTTCCTGCCAACAGTGCAAAACTTGAATCTAATCACGAGGAAATACCGGATATATACAGTTTGAGGAACATTCTACAAAATAACTGGCCTGTGTACTCTTCAAAACATCAGGGTCATGAAAGACAAAGGCAGATTCAGGAAATGTACCAGATTAAAGTAGAGGAAAGAGACATTACAACTAAATGCAACACGTAATCCTGGATTAGAACCTGGACAATACCAACCTGCCCACAAATTGCTATACCAGACAATACAGGGACAACTGGCAACATCTTTATATAATAGTATTAAATCAATATGAATTTCCTAGTTTTTATACGCATACTGTGGTTATACATGCCAGTTACTTCCAGATGGTTCAGGAAAAAACAATTGTGTGTGTATAAAGAAAGAGAAGATAAAGCAAATGTGATAAAATGTTAGAAAATCTGGGTGAAGGGTAAGGAATTCTTTGTACTACTCTTGCAACTTTTCTATAAGACTGACATTATTCCAGATTGAAAGTTTTCAAAGAGTCCAAGGAACTAGGCAACAGAAATAAGGCTGGTTAGAGGGCACTGGGCCCATATAACAGAGGACTTAAAAGTCAGGAAGAACTTAGACTTCAAAAGTAAGAAACACAAAATACAAATTAAGGGAAAGAGTGAAAATAGTATGCGTAAATCCTAGCATGGGGCTATTAGGGGTGGAGCAGTTAAGATTAAGGGATGCAGGGAAGGGAAACAGAGGAAACAGAAGGGAAGGAAAGGACAAAGTAGTGGAAAAAAAATGTTTTACGGCCTAAGAGTTAAAAAAATAAGGAGTACTTGCAGGATTCTCTGGCAGGAAACAGACCTCCTTTGGTCATAAGTTTCTCTGCCCTCAGGGAAGAAGAATCCATCTTAAAAGGAGACAATACTAGCCATTCCCTCCATTCAATTAAAAAATTTAAAAGAGTACCTACTGCTCTCTAGATCCTTTCTAGGTACTAGGATATAGCATGATTTTTCACTCTGGTGATGATTTTTCACTTCTAGTGAAGAAGACATATAATACACAAATAACAATTCAATGAATTATTTCAGATGTTGCCATGAGAAAAAAAATAAAGCAGAGTAACATGACAAAAGAGTACCTGGAGGTATCAAGGAAGACCTCTCCAAAAAGGTGACTTGAACTGAGAACTGAGAAGTCAACCCTGCTAAGATCAAGGTGCTCCAAGCAGAGAGAACCAAACATGCAAAGGCCCCAAAGTAGAACAAGCCAGTGTGGATGCAGACTGTGAACCAGGCAGAGAGCTGTAGGAAACAAAGTCTCCTGGTAGGGCCCCACATCAAGTTGAACCTTGTAGTGTGCATTTTATTCTAGACAATGGAAGGCCATTTGGAAAATTTTAAGCAGCAGAGTGGTATGATCTGATTTATTATTTTAAAAGTTCACTTTGGCTGCTACACTAAATAGATGCAGGAGAAAAGAATGGAAGTAGAAGGACCAAGTTTGCAGTCCAAGCAAACTATGACAAAAGGTTTGGACTAAGGTTATTGGCAAGATAGAGTAGTGGAGAGGTTCCATATATATTTAAGAAGAAGAACTAAAGGCCTTGCAGATAAACTGCAGAAAAGTCAAGGTCAGAGTTGTTAATTTGCAAGTCAGCAGCATTTATGTTTATTCTCCAACTCTCTCCTGGGCTCTAGACTGACGTTTCAACTGCCTGCTAGAACTACTCTGAATGTCCTATTGGAATCTCCAACTCTAAATTTGTCTAAATCAGCATTCATCACCTTCCCACATAAAGTACTTCTTCCTTATTTACTTGTTTTTATTATTGGTACCGCCACTCATTCAGACCCAGCACACTTCGGAGTCAATTTCACCCCCTTTTCCCTCATCCCCACGTCCTACAACCAAAGAAGACAAATCCTATCTTTGTAATATCTCCTGAATTCACTTCCTTTTCCACCCCTAATGCCAGCACTTTTAAAAAACGTCAAACTGATCTCTAATTCATGCCATAATACCCTGCTGCCAAAAGACTTTTTATAAATTGGGTACAAACTCCTCAATCTGGCATTTGAAGCCCTCCTTAATGCATCTTGAACCCTCATTTCTAGTCTTTCAGCATGCTTGCTAACACATGGCCTGATGGTAAGCCAAACTGACCTGCTGGTCCTCCAACATTCCTCATATTGTCTCAGTTCTGTGCCCTCACTCCTGCTTCAAATGGATGTCCACTCTCCATGCTCCTCATTTGTCATAAGTCTACCCCTCCTCCAAAGCCCATGTTAAATGCCACCTCCTTCATTAAGTTTGCCTTGCTATCCTCATTTAAATGTGATCTCTTCCACCTCTAAACTCTCAGGAAATGCTGTTTATAATTTTCTTATGGTTCTTGCCACATACCTTCCATCTGAGGATTGTGGATATTTGTCTTATCCACAAACATACTGGTTTGCATGTATGTTCTCTGAAAGCACAAATTTATGACAGTCATCTTTACATTTCAAATAGAAACTGCCACAGGACCCTGCACTCAGTAAACACCCCATAGACATTTATAAATTTTAACAGACATTTGTAAATTTTACTATTTACAAAAGTAGCTCCCACTTGAATTAAGGACACAAAGCATACAAAGTCTGCTTTAGGCTTTTAGTACACTGATATTCAAATAGGCAAAGTGTGCACCTGAGCTTATAACACAAATCTCTGACTTCAGAAGGGAAAAGAACCTGTTGACTAAGGGAATATAGTAGAAATTGCACAAACACAAACCAAACTCACTTCATTTTCCTGGGCAAGTCTTAAAATTTCATCAAGTGTTACAAATGTATCATTTCCTCTGACTGCATCTTTCTCCATAAATCCAAGATGAATATCTGTTGCAACTAAGATTTTAAATGTATTTTCATCATCACTGTATTAAAGAAGAAACAGTTCAATATAATTCACTGAAAGGATATTCAAACAAATTGAGACCTAAACTTATAAGATAAGTAACAGCAGTTACAGAGTAAAGTCATTTTGCTAGTCTTAGACTTTGTCTGAAAATCTTAAGTATTCAACAGGTAATTAACATCACATAATTTCCCTAACCACTAATTCAATATAGAACAAATGTACGTGAATTTTATAAAGGTTCTCTGTTTTAAAAATTTATAACCTTGTAATAACCTGTTTTATACACTGGGCTTGAAAGTTTGCTTTTTTTCCCCTTTTGTTTCACAGCAAAAACCCAAGAGGCTTTGACCCCTATATCTAAACTTGCTATTTATCTAATTTTTCACTTTTCCAGGAAAATCAGAGTTACTTTAAAAAGGATTCGTCTAAGTTTATAAGTAGATTTTATATCAATATTGCTAGTAATTTACATTCAGGTCCCTGAGGACACTTCCTCGACATTACTGTCTATAGAAAGTTAGTTTTTCATTAATAAATTTGCCAAGTAACACAACAGAATTGTTTCAATCTAAATTAAATTCACTAGTATTCAAAGGCATTTTCATGTGAAGCAGAAATGTAATAGTTATTAATATACTTTTAAACTTCATGTAATTTTTAATTCTTTAAAATACTTGTATATCTGAGCTCATCTCCCACAAGTAAAGATGCAGGCATTATTATCCCTGAAAAATGAGAAGTCTAAACACAGAGAAATTAGCTGATTTATCACACAACTAGTGGCAGAAACAGGACTAAAACCCACAATGAAAACTCAGGCTATTTTCTGTAAACCATAATAAACTTTAAAAAATATATTGTATATGTTTGCAAAATTCAAATTTTTATATACAAAAGATATTTCCAGAAAAGATCTCTCTTCAAAAACTTCAAAAATGATATGCACACAGTTCTGATTGCAATATACAAGCAGGTAGTTCAGAATATTTTTGAGATCACTTGACTACATGCTTCCACAGCAATTTATGTGTTTTCACATGAATTCTCTCACTTAAACCTCAAAATTAATTTGAGAAAGGCATTATTATTCCAAGTATACAAATGGAGAAAGTGAGGTAAGGCCCAGAGAACTTTTTTCCACGTAACTTTTACAATCCTTTTATTTTGATTTTATTCAAATTCATTTACAGTTTATTCAATACTAGAGCAATGTATTCTAAAAATCTGCTTGAAGAGAACTACACTAAGATTTCATCACAAAAATTCAAGTTTATAGCTTCGATAATTTAAGATAAAGCCTAAGAACAAAACTTACATACTATAGCACTATACCAAATTACTGCAAAACTCCAATCTATAGCTGTGTATTATCTTTTACTTAATAAACACATAGTATGGATTTTTAAACATTCCAAATATCCTTTTTGATGACTAACATTCCTGTTCATAGGCAGGTTCTTTATTTACTGCTAATTTATTAAACTGCTAATTTATTTTAAAAGTTTTCTTTCATGGTGATCATAGCTGTTGGGCTTTAGAAACCCAAAGTAACAAAGGATTCTAGGAGTCACATGCTTACAGTGCATCTGCAGGACTCATTTTTACGGGCAGTCCAGATCCTCTGGGACCAGGTTCCTCTCCAAGAACCCCTGGGTCCTATGTTCAAATATGTCAGAAAGTACACTCGATTCCAAATTCCAGCAAATTCTGAAAACAAAACTACATAATAAAACACAAATTTTTAAAAAGGCTGCATGTATTTAACCAACATAATAGAAACCGTACACAGTACATATGTCTTACATGAGTAGTTAGCAATTTTGGAAGTCTCATTTTCATCTAAGCAGTTAGTATACTTTTACTGTTTTAATGTGCTAAGAATAGAAAACAACACATCTCATGTGCCATTCTAGTTTCACCACTATGATTAAACTTATCTCCTATTTTCCCTTTCCACACTCTTATGGAAAATTAATGTATGTTAAATAAATGGGCAAAAAGGGTCACATATAGTTCTGGTTTAGCACACAAACAACTCTGTATGTGCAGAAATGTTTAAGTTGCATGCATGGTTTACTCCGGAGCACGGAGACAATCCTGTATTTCCTGCTCAGACACAAGATTTTTTCAAAGGACTGGGCTTGTTTCTGAAAAGAAGGTAGTATAAATAAACAAAAAGCTAGTGTTTAAAGCGAGTGTAAATAAACAAACACGTGGTCTGCAGAAAAACAACTTTAGGCTCCAGCAGGACAACTGAAAATGGCCAACAGACTTGGAGAGGAAGGGCTGCCACCGCGCAACAACCCCTCCCACGTCCTGAGTTCCAGATTCTGTCGGGATAAGAAGCCTCCCCTCTCCCTCAACACGGGACTCAGAAGTCAGAACGAGGAGCCCTCTAGAACCCGTCCCCAGCCGACTCAGCCCATTCTTCCCTGAGAGTCCAATTCACTCTGGCCTTCCGCCCGGGAACCTGCAACAATAGGAGACGGATATGATTTCTAAATTACCCCACACCTGGACTCTTCAAAGTCCCACCATCGGGACCCAAGGCTGTCTTCTACAGGGCAAGAAACGGCGGAATTCGTGAGAAGAAAACCAAACAGAACTGCCCGAGCTTGCCTCTGAGAACCCGCAGGCCATAAAGCTGAATTAGGCGGGATCTGTTTCTCTCGCGATACTTTCTGGAGGACGTACACGCTTTAAGCCCCCTTTGGTTTTCATTGGCTGCCGAATCCCATGAGGGAGAGGGAAAGTGGAGGCGAGGCCCCGCCCCCTAACAGGAGCCAATCCTAAACAACCGAGGGGACGAACCCGGAAGCGAGATCTGCGGCGGTGATTTTCCCTGCTATAAGGTGGGTAGCTCTAGCCAAGTCCCGGACCTCGCTTTTTGGTAAACTCGGGCCATCTGAGAACTCTTGGGCTTGTACGGGCGGGGTCCTGTCGACCCAGCCGAGCCCTGCAGGTCAGGCCGCGTCTTGGGTCCCTGGGGTAGGCCAAAAGCTGCTTCTCCGCTCTTGGCTGTTGGAAGGCCTCAGGCGGAACTCCCGGGCCTGTGAGTGACCAGTGCCAGAGGGCCGGAACTGGCAGCCCTCTCCCTTACTGTCACTCTTTAGACCCTCTGGTTTACGGGCCTTTCTTCTCTGCTTCCCCTTATTGTCGCCCCTGTGTTCTCGAGCACATCTCTATTGCTTTGTGCTGAAAACGGTAAAATGTAGGGCAGTGAAAAATAATGTGGAACTTTTGAATTAGAGTATCTGGCCTTTCAGTTCCATTAAAGAGCCTTTGATCTAGGGCAAGTTGTTTTAATCGATGCGAACCTCAGCACCTTCACCTGTAAAAGGGGGTTTGTAGCCCTGCCTGTCACTGAGTTGTTTTTGAGGAGTTGACATAGGATCTCTTTCAAAATGGAATGTGCCCTTTAAGTTAGGAAACATACCCTATCATTTCCTGATGGAATATCAGGAATATCATCACATAAGAACCTTGATCGATTTTTTTTTAAACTCTGAATCAGGTAGATACACCTGCGTTTGACTTTTTAAATTATCTATACCAAGAAAATTTTATACATAATTTATTGTATCTGGATTTATAAATTCAGAATTTATATATGAAGAGAGGAGTTTTTACAAAAAGGAAAGTCATGTTGGGGGAGGGGAGTAAGATCTGGGCTATAATGTTACTGTATTTGATATAATTACATGTGAAATTTACATTATTTATTGTCATCCATTAAGTGTTTAATGAATTGATGCATGATCACTTTTGTGTTGCAAGGTTCAGGAGCTAGTTTGAGAGTAAAGGAAAAAGTGGTAACTCTAAGAGGACTAATAAAACACAAAGCAATTCTGGTGAGGTCTCTCAATAGACTGAAAAGGTGAACGGGTTTCAGAAATCCTTTAGCACAATCCTTACATTTTATAATGAAGTAACAGGCCCAGCGAAGTTACTGGTCATGATTGATAGATTTAAACTTGCATTTAGTGCTTCTGCCCTTTGTAATAAAATATAATACCACATTACGATTGTGTACTATTAATCTTATGAAATTAGGTAGAAAGAATCAGTATCTTAGGGATATGCTTAATTCTGGAACTTCTCAGAAACCATTCCAGGCAAAATCAAGTGATGGGACTTTAATGCTACAAATATTTCTTAATGCCTGCTGTATACAAGTGGGACATAAATGTAAGTTAAATGTGGTCCCTATCCCTAAGTTTATAATCTTTTAAGGGACTGAAATAAGACAAAATGTAGCACCAAAAAAGGTAGAAAGCACAGATATAATTGGGAGGATCAAGAAAGAATGAAAGAGATAACATCTGAGAAGAGCCTTGAAAGACTGATAAGATTTCAACAAATATAGTTGGGAGGCTGAGAAGTGGTATTTTTAAATTACCTATTAGTTATTATCATTTTCTTTAATTGACTAAGGCTTATATGCTGTGTAACTCTTTAAACTGATATTGGTTTATAAATTAATATAGCAGGCTAGTAGAATAAATCACTTCCTCCAGGAAGCTTTCTTTAATTCCTTTGGACTACAGGAATTTTGACCCTCCAATATACTCATGACATCCAGACGTGATCCCATCATAGTACTTAACTGTGTCGTCTTTGCCAGTTGCTTCCACTAGACAGCAAGCTCCTCAAGGTGAATATGTGGATCTCGTTCATTACTGAATCCTAGTACCCAGAGACTGGCGCATACCAGACATTCTGTTCATATTTGTTAAACGAAGGAGTGAATTTACAGCCAAATTCAGTTCAAAACAAGGAGCCAACTAAGAACTATAGTTGTCTATCAATGAATAGGACTACTTTTAAAGCAGTGAATTTTCCTAGGCCTGAAATTATTAAAGTAGAAATACATCATTAGTGCAGATGTTTTGATAAAGATACCTGCATTGATGAGAGATCAGGACGGATGTCCTTTTGGGGGCTCTTCTATCTTTAAGAATCCCTGATTCTTTGAAGTGTTTTTTTAGGAACTAGAAGTTTTTGTTTCATGCTCTATATTATCTATGTGTCTACTTTATAAAAATCTTAAATGTACTTGCCTTTATTATATTAGTTAAACTTTAAAAACTTAAAGCATTCATCATTTTTAGCATAATACCTAAACCAATAGATTCGAAACAATAGTTATAATAATAAAACAGTTATGATAATATGGTTGACTTAGTAGAAGAAAACAAAAAGAAGAGTTAGACCATTAAAGGTAATAGATTACTGAAATCTGTCAGCTCCAATATTTAGTATATGTAATGGGTATCATGCGAAGACACCAAAGAGTTTAGATGGGGTTTATTTGTGTATGTTTGCAAGACCATTATCTATGCTGTTGATAAAGCCTCGATTACTGTTTTGCTAATAATTTTTTGTGTTTATGATTTCAGATCTTGATGAATAAAATGAAATAGACATAATTCATCTCTAGAAAGATTATTCATACCCTGGAATTTGAAATGCTTTTTATTTAGAATAACAGTAAGAATGGAAAAAGAAAAAGTAAATGATGATGGAAAACGAGACTCAGAGAATTCCTTGGACTTTTCTGAACACTTTAACCAACTTGAATTGTTGGAGACACATGGACACCTTATTCCCACTGGTACTCAAAGTCTCTGGGTAGGCAATTCTGATGAAGATGAGGAACAAGATGAAAAAAATGAAGAATGGTATCAATTGCAAGAAAAAAAAATGGAAAAAGATCCAAGCAAATTGCTTCTTTGGGCTGCTGAAAAAAATCGGGTAAAAAAAGAAACAAAAACCAGAGGGAACCATAACAGTAGGAAAAGCATTGGGTTGGAGCCAGCAGACCTGTCCCTGAATCTCTGGTTTGTAACTTTGGGCAAACCCTACTGCTGTTGAACCTCTATTTTCTCATGTATAAAAATGGCCATGATAATACCTATCTTTTTTATACAGGATCGTGGGGATCAAATGAGGATATATTACATGAAAGTATATATTAAGCTATAAAATGTCATATTAGGTACTGTTTGGAGGTTTAAGAGTAATTAACTCTACAAAGATTGCAAGCAATCATTTATATTTTGAAATCATTTATATTAAGTCCTTGGGATCATCCTATAGATATGTATTATTTAGGAAAGAGAAGATGGAAATTAACACTCATTCAATGCCAACTATACTAGGTGCCTTACTACATTTAATCCTCACATATCCCCACAAGAAAGGTAATTTTCTTCTCTTTTACAGAGTAAGAAATTGACATTCAGAAAATATTAATTTGCTTAGCATCATCCAAGTAGAATTAACATCAAAAGCCTGATCTTTATGCTCGGCCACTTCCACCTCATTTTACTTAGTTTCCCCATGTCTGTGTTAGTAAACTAATAACTAAAAGGGTCTTGCATTTTAGATCACTTTTAACCCAAGAGCATGCTGCAGCCCACCAGAGGTCCATTGAACAAACTGAAAATCATGACCTGAAGGCATGTTTCTAAGGTTGTATTTAGAAGAATTGAGCTCTTGAATCCCTAGATTTCCTTGTCACTACTTTATTCTTCTGCTAAAAGTTTTATTTTTAAAGGTTTTATACACTTATATATTGGTGTGATAATCCTACTACAAGAAAAATCAGTTACGTTTTTTTTCACAGAAGAAATATAAAATACCAAATACAGTTACAACCTATATTCATCTAGGACTATAGCTTTTGTGCAATAAACCTTAATTGGACCAAGAGTAAATGTATGGTTTAATATTCAGAGAATCTCATTATTAGAAGCCATAGAGTACGGTTAACACTAACTTGTTCATTCGTACATCTGTTGTCCTCTCTTTCCAAAAAAGAAATCTTAAATTATTTTCATTTTAAAATCATTTGCTAACAAGTTTTTATTTAACTTAGTTAAATCTAACACAAGACAGTTAAATTTTCTTTATTGTTTTGGTTTGAGTTTTTAAAAGATTTCTTTTTTCTTCTCAGCTTACTACAGTGCGGAAACTACTTTCTGAAAAGGCCACTGACGTGAACACTAGGGATGAAGATGAGTATACCCCTCTTCATCGAGCAGCCTACAGTGGACACTTGGATATTGTCCGTGAGCTGATTGCACAAGGAGCAGATGTTCACGCAGTGACTGTGGATGGCTGGACCCCCCTGCACAGTGCTTGTAAGTGGAATAACACCAGAGTGGCTTCTTTCTTACTTCAGCATGATGCAGACATCAATGCCCAAACAAAAGGCCTCTTGACCCCCTTGCATCTTGCCGCTGGGAACAGAGACAGCAAAGATACCCTAGAACTCCTCCTCATGAACCGTTACATCAAACCAGGTCTGAGAAACAACTTGGAAGAAACTGCATTTGATATCGCCAAGAGGACAAGTATCTATCACTACCTCTTTGAAATTGTGGAAGGCTGTACAAATTCTTCACCTCAGTCTTAACAGTTCTAGTAATTCTCTTAAGTTTCTAAGTATTAGTGCCTCTTGTGTGAGATGTAAAATATTCCCCTAATACAAAGTTGACATCAAATGTCTTACTTTGGAAACTTAGTGGCACTAATTATAATGCTCTTCCAAGTGAATTGCCTGATCTTGATGTCAAAATGTATTTGAAAGTTGTTGGGATATATCTTTAATGATTTCTGTGAAGTTTGTGATTTTTATCAGAAATAATTTTAACCTGCCTATACTTAGAAACATGACACGGGTTGTACAGAACCTAATGATATTTTTGGTGCTGATCCAAGAGAAATATATTTTTAAATATCCCACATCCTGGATGTTTGTTGAGTATTTAGTATATTGATGTATATTTTTATAAGGTGAGATAACTCAGAATTGAACTTTAAGGTCTTAAATATTCTGGTGCAGTTCAGCTGTATTCTCTGTATTACCATAGCCAGTTGTTTTCATTTTGAACCAGAAGAACTAACATATTAGTAACTTGAATCTTAATAAGTTAAAAAAAAACACCAAAAAACCTAGATCTTTGTCCTTTAGAACATAGACCATTTTCAGGAAGCAGTTAGCTAAGTGTTTAATACATGAATGTTGTATACTGCCTCCCCTACCACAATTGACACGATCCTGTGGACAGTCCTACCTCGCCCTGTTCAGCCTACGTGATCCATATTCTAATGGTGAATCAGTATGACCTTTTAGACATGCACCCACAACTATACCTTGGTCCAAGAGATCATAATATATCTGCTATCCAACTGGCTTTACCTGCCCAATCCTGCTGATTTGAGTATTGTTCATATAGACTCATGAGTTCACAGGAAATAGTGATTTTCCAAGATCTTCATTTTATACAGACCATACAAAGGCAAAGTGATAAGGGCAAAGGAATTCTAAGAGTGAGGGGATGATTATTACATTGGGGCTAAAATCAGAAAGTGGCTCAGGCTTAAAAAGAAAACTGTGGATAGTGACAAAAAGTATAAATATGAATATTCAAGAAAAATAAAGTGTAAGTTTTGAACAACTAAAAAAGCATGAATCATCTTTTTTTTTTAACCTATTTATCTCTTTCTTGGATCCAGAACATAACTATTCATCCAGCATGCATATATTTATTTAATATCTACTCTCTCAATCTCTCCAGCAGCAATTTCCCATTGACCACCTAGCACCCTGTGACTTATCCCAAAGAGTTTTCTCTCAACCTCTCAACACCAGAACTAACACCCTAGGGGAAGGGAACTAAACCAATTGCCCTTTTCTTTAGTTATATATTTTAAATGTCCACCAAGGATTATCTCTTTTAAGCTAACCCATGTGACTCAATCACCCAAGACTACGTAATAATGTTATTTAATCAAATATATATAGTTAGAACAAATTAGATCATCTCAAAAAAGTTAAAGATAAGATAATGAACTGAATCATTGCAACAAACAGGATCCCAAGAGTTAGGAGAGCTTCAGTAATTTTGTAGTGTCTGGCTAAGAGACACTCTCTTGGTTTCACAGTATTAGTAACTCTAACAGGGGTTGTGGTAGAAAGTGAGAGGTTGCTTTCTGTGTAATCTGGCCTAAGTTAGTGATACTAAAGGACAGGTACAACTGACTGACAGTGGTAGAATAGGACCCCATCTGTCCAAGTAGCCAGCTAAGCAAGGCTGCCTCGTCTGAAAGTCACAGAGCCCATGGCTTCTTTCTCACTTGAGATTGGGTTGCATCCACGATTCTAGGTAAACTTTCCATTTAAGTGTGGGCCTCAAAAAGCTTTTTTATTTCTGATAAGGACCTGAGATGTAACTACTCCCTTGTTTTCAGGCCTTAACTCACCAGTGCTAGACAGCAAACTCCAGATAGAAGAGAAATCCCATCCCTGAGGGCAGAATTTGTATTGTTTGCTTCCTTTATACTTGCCTTAGTATTTATTAGACTGCTCTATCCACACAAGGCATTCATTAATCATGCTTTTGACAATATCACTTATCTGTACTTTCCAGTTGAAGCAGGCTAAGTAGCCAAGTTTGCAAACAATTTAATCTTGGAAATTTATACAAAGACTTTAAAAAATAAAACCTGGGCCAGGCACAATGGCTCACACCTATACTTTGGGAGGCTGAGGCAGGAGGATTGCTTGAGGCCAGAAGTTTGACACCAGCCTGGGCAACATAGTGAGACCCTGTCTCTACAAACAAAAGAAAAAAAAACAGCCAGTCATGGTGACATGCACCTGTAGTCCCAGCTACTAGGGAGGCTGAGGCAGGAGGATCACTTGAGCCCAGGAGTTCGAGGTTACAGTGAGCTGTGACTGCACCACTACACACCAACCTGGGCAACAGTAAGATGCTGTCACTAAAAAAATAAAAACTAAGTTTTTCCTAACTAAGGGCTTAATTTTGATTAACTTAAATGCTTGAGGGAAAGGTGACTTTTGTCATTGTTCAAGGGACACATAATTCTTAGGCCCACAGTGAAACTAGTTGGCTTTGCTTTTATAAGTCTTAAATATGCTTTTCCAGGGAGCCTTCTGGCCCACAACTTTCCACAGTGATGGGATTTAGAGTCTTTGTTCTATAGTATGAAAACATTCATTTATTTATATTCTTTGACCTCTATTGTGGTATCCATCACTATTCTAGAAGATCATGATCAAAAGAAGTCCAGGGACTACTCTGAGACACATCCCATACCAAAGTGAAATCCCTGGATCAACTCTCAATTCCTGATCAACACATATATCATCTTCACCCTACCTGCAATGGCTCTAGGAATCTATGCAGCTGCCTACAAAATAAGATCATCAAATCTTTGATTATGCCTTTTCCATAGCTGGTTTATCATAGGATGCTCCAGTCCTTCTGTAGCATTACTATTAATAGGATGACTGTTCAACTTGTTAAATATGAAGTGCTTTCTCTAAAGGGAATTTAGGATGTATGTTTATTAAATTCAGAAGATAGTAAATTAATAAAGATTGAGCATAGCTGATTGATGTGTAAAATTCCTGGAAATTTCCCTTTGAAATCCCAAAATTTCACTTCTGGGGACCTCAGTGGAAACAATCTGCACCAGAGCTATCACATAGAATCATAATGCAAGCTACATATGTAATTTTAAGTTTTTTCTAATAGCCATATTAAAACAAAAATGGATGAAATTAATATATATTAGTCTAAACATCCAAAAGAGATTTCAACATGAAATATATATTAAAAAATTATTTAGATATTATACCTTCTATTTTTGTAGTAAGTCTTCAAAATATAGTGTGTATTTTATAGCACATCTCAGTTCAGACTAACTACATTTCAAGTTCTCAATAGCCACATTTGACTAGTGGCTACTCCATCAAACAGTGTGAGTCTAAATGCCTGATCATTCCCTGGAGACATAGAATGATGGTTATGAGGATCATTAAACTTTAAGTCAGACAATCGGAGTTCCAATCTTGAGTGCCATGTAAGTGTGACTTTGGGCAAATAGCTTCAGTTTTCTCATATGTAAAATGGGCATAATATCTATCTTGTAGTGTTGTAAGGAATAAATGACATAGGTAAAGAACCTATCGCATGAAGGTACTCAAAAAATGGTATTGAGTGGTTCTGTTCCCCAGCATTTCAAGCAGAAATGCCCTTCCTGTTTTAGGTATTTGGATTCTTAAAGATCCCATATGTAGGTTTTCCTTTATATTCCTACAGTGTCTGATGACCTTCCAGTAAAATGTGCAATATAAAGCTTTTTTCAAGAATCCGAGCAACTCCACTCCTAGAAAAAATGCCTACCCCATTTCCAAAGGTTCCTGCCACGAATCAAGGGTCTTGCTCCAACTGAAGAAAAACTCAAGGAATAAATAAATAAAGCAAAAGAATTGAAGCAAATATTAATAATTACAAGGACTAGAAGGAAATGAGGTTCAGAGAGAAAATGTATTTTCCAGAGTGGATCCAGGGCCTTGAAATTAAGAATGGCTTATTGCTCATGCTCTGTGCAGCCTCTCAATGCCAAGTTTTGTCAATGCTGAGCAAAAGGAATAAAAACACAAAAACATTCATTTTTGGTTCATCGCTTTAATTCAAAACTCAGGTACATCTAATAGTCCTCACTATGAATTTAATGACATGGCCACATCCTCCAGTGGATCTCACGGTAGCAGAATTTGTAGGCCAGAAAATCAGCTTAATGAAAGAAATAGCTTATAAAATCTAAACGCAAACTGCTCCACAATTTGTTTTCGTCCTTCACTTTCTATTACAATATGTTCAGCATTTCGTCTCTATTAGATGTATAGTACTTGACAGTTAGGAAAACATTGTTAGAGAAATAATGTGAGTTCAGAAAGGGCACTGTCTCCTGTGTAGTCATTAGAGTTCTGTTTTCAGATACGGCTGCCTTAAACAGAGGCAATTTTTAGCAATCGAGAGAGAGAGAGAGAGAGAGGCCAGAAAGTGAGCCTGCCATCATTAAAAAAAAAGTTCAGATGTCTATTAGGTTTTTCCAAACTCCAATTTAATAACTCATGAAGAATATGTATACCGATTGCAGGGACCAACTCTAGGAGTAAGACATAGCTCTGCTGTGAGAATCATATGAAGACCTGATACAACAATGAAATGCTTCAGTGTATGTACCAGAAAAAAAGCACTAGAATTCAGATGATAATAGCTTTCATGTGCTTTTGTATATTTCCTATTAGAAGATATGCAAACCTCATAAGGAGAAACAAATACAAGAAAAATTATGTTAGGCTCCTTTCATCCTTTCTTTTGATTTTAGTCTGTACCTTTGGACAATAGGTGGTTTGGGAGTCCATCCAGAAAGGTAACTGTATGTCAGCGTTTCTCAACCTCCACACTATTGACATTTGGAACCAAATAATTGCTGTGGGGGGCATCCTGTGCGTTGCAGGATGTTAGCAGCATTCCTAGCCTCCACTTACTACCAGTGGCACCTCCCACTCTCCCACCCCCAGTTATGACAACCAAAAATATCTCCAGACATTGTCAAATGTCCCCTGCTGTATGTCTTCAAAAATCTAAGGCAGGAGATTTCATAAACCTGGCCAGCCACATAGTTGTTTTTATGAGCATGCAAGTAAATTTTATGTAAAGCCAGTTTCCCTTAGATTTTGTTAGGTATGCCGAATATTTCTTAGTGTACATCCAAAAATTAGATAATCATCGATTCTACTTTTGATTTTTAGTATTTTCTTGATGAAATCACTTAAACACATCTAAAAAAATTGGGCTAAAATATACACTTCGAAAAGGAGAACTCTCCAATACTAGGTGTTGTTTTTAAGAAAAATTCACTTCCTACTCCCAGTTTTGGCATCTAGGAAATTTGCTCTTTAGGTCAGATGAGCTTATTTTTAGAGAAATTCAATTTCTATGAATATGAGATGGGACAGTTACATTCTGATTTTTAATAGGTTGTACTATTACAAATGTAATTATTTTATTGCATTGCTGATAAAATGGCAATTAAGTTAACACACACACTTTGCTTCTAGATAAAAAAAAGGATAAGAGAAACTAACAAACTCTGTCAGAGCAGTTCCAAGTATAAACTGGAGAAATAGAAGACAATGTCTTAATGTTATTACTAAAATTCTTTTAATTTGTTATTTAAATGTAAAAATCATATGGTATAATTTATTTTGGCAATTACTTTTACTTTAAAAGTTAATTCTAAGATGAAATACATCAAAATCATAATGTACCAAAAAAACATGTTTATCAACCTACTATGTGGTTTTGTTGTACACACTATACATTTCAGTAAATACCTGGCATTAGGACTGCGGTGCCATAGGGTACAGTTATAATCAGCTTTTGTAAAAACTGCCAAACCAGTTCTCCACAGTGGCTGCACCAATTTACACGCTTAGCAGCGAGGAATGAGAGTTCCAATTGCTCCATATCCTCCCAACCTTTGTTACTTGCCAGGTTTGTTCCTTTTTGTTCCTTTTGTTTGTTTGTTTAACAGCCATTCTAGTGAATATGTAATAATATTTCATTATAGCTTTAATT